ATGTTTTGGCATGTATTTCTTTTCAGAAATTTCCGCCTGTGCATCCAGCCGGGGCTATGCATCCCCTGATCAGAGGCTTGGCATAGCTGCGCTTGGCGTATAATCTAACATGGTATAGTAGCTACTCTGATTGTCCGACTGCTTTAGTGTTCATAGTTATTAAGTTGATTTTTCAGATTTTATTTTCGCGAAATACTTGAATTCGATGTTTTTCATCAGCCGAATCCTTCCATTCGAATTGAGCCTTTAAAATTCGAAACTTTTATTAAAAATTTTTTATAAAATGTGGTAACCACTGTAGTGTTTGTTTGTGTGCGCTTTCGATGCCGCTGTGGATCAGATTTTTGTCGTACCTGTATAAAAAGTTAAATAAATGCTGTACATTGGCATAGCTTCAGCCGAAAATTGTAAGTTTTCGGCAGATGGATGAGTTTACTAAGTTCATCATTTACTACCCGTTTTCGACCTAAGAAAAATCTTAGGTATTGGTAAGATGACCTTACCAATACCTAAAATTTTTCCCTATCTTGTTGCCCTAGCTGGGCCTCACCTACTTCTTTTCCTTTATCCTTTTTATTTTTTAATTTCGAATTTTTGTTTTTTTCGGCCTGGCCGCAAGAAAACTAGAGTCAAAACAGGACTTCCAATCTCTATTTTCAAGTGTGCTTTTTTCAATTTTGCTTCGTAAATGTTCTCAAACAAACAGCTTTTTCCTTTTTATTAATAGGTTAAATTACGATTTTGAAATTTAGTAGGGTTTTCCGCGATTTTGAGGGTTTTCCAGGATTGTTCAAATTTTTTCAGGTTGGAGCAGAACGTCGCGTATCATTCGATCACGGTCGTGAAGGTTCGATAGCTGAAGATTGCTTTTTTAGTATGATTGCATTCAGAGATGGATATACATTCGATTTCATCGAAGGTCAGTCTGTTTAGTACTGATTAGCTGTACTGCCGTAGCCTGTAATAATGCCGCAGCTTGGTCACAACGAAATCTGAAGGGACAAATTAAATCCTGGGAAAAACAAGGATGAGAAGACCTTGTAAATAAAAACCTAAGGAGGCAAAAAGTGAGCGCAAACTCTGAGCTGTAGGCCTCATTTAAAAGTTTTCTTAAAAACAAATCAAAATTCGCTGGTTTGCAGGAATATTTAGCAGATTGGCAAAAGTAATGATGGTGCAAGGGTACCTTCTGATATGCTGATTCGCTTTGTTTCTGCAACTTTAGCTTGTCAATATGTTAAAATACCTCCTGACAGACAATTTAAGTTTGATACTTGTGCACTGGAGAAGTTGGTTATGACAATAGATAGTACTTTTTGCTTAAGTTTCAGAGTTTCACTCAATTAGATAATCAGTCCCTCTACGATTCGTTCTTTCATTCTGATGGTAAATTGATACTGGCATATGTCAAAGCACCATCATCAATTTATTTCTTAGGAACTTTTAAAGGGAAGCACCACAGGGTGGATGCGCTCTTACCACTTTTTTACTTTCTGGTGCCCGACCCTTTTAAGTAAAGAGCGAAATCTGGGAGGAGGAATTATTCAAGGTGTTGGAGGAATCACGATCAGCTTGCCTCCTAGCTAAACAAAACCGGAATTTGAAGCCATACTAATTATGACTGTCATATTTGAAGCCATACTAATTATGAGAGGTCTGGTAATTTATAATTGGTACTTTAAGCCAAATTGCTAGTTTACCGTCTTCAGAAAGCTGATGGGACATAATTTCAAATTTGATAAAATTAGCTGTGCTTGATTCAGTTATGTTATAACAGTGCTAATTTTGCAGGAGAAATGCTCGAAAAAAGTCCTTTTACATTTTGGGATTTTTTGCAACAGCGAAAACGATGGCTACAAGGCATCTACTTGACTGTACACGCTAAGCAGATCCCTGCAAAGAACAAAGTAAGCGCCATTTCTGATGCTAGAAAATGATTTCTTTTTTCCCCGAATAATTTAACGGCTTCCTCAGTGAGGTGTTTCAAGACGAAATGTAGTGGTGCGCAAAAATCGTTTCGAAACAGCTGAAGTCTTGATAGGTGCTTTTATTGCGAGAATAACTGTGCTGATAGCCCTCGAAAAAGAGGAACGAACGTCAGAATAGCTAGTAGCACTGAGGCTGTCCTCCGGGCGATACAGCATTGATCAAAGCAAGTGACGAAACTGCCAGCCGCATTGTTGGAGAGCCAAATTAGGAACTGTGGTCAGTCAGAACGTATGCTACTAATAAAATATAAAACATTGGTTATAATACAATTAAGTCTGGTAAATTAAAATATCAAACCCTCTGGACTGAGCGCTCAGGTGTTTCCGGCATTATTACTCCTTTTCACATCCGGACGCGACGTACTATCTAACTGCACCACCTGCATTAGGTTCAGTCTGGAAGCACTTTTACTGTGTGTTTAATTTTTAAGGCAGAATGCGCCTTTCTTTCTTCAGTGCCTCTCTTAGACCGCGTATACTTTTTCTGTGGCAGCTCTTTTGCTGATTTTTCGCGGGTTTTACATGACAATCTTCCACGTTACTGAAATCATTGGAAATACTAGTTTGAAATTTTTGGAAAAGAAAAAGTTAAAATACGGTTAGGTGTCGGGAATATCTCTATAAACTAGTATTCTGAATATTTGATCAAACGTAGTTTATAAATTGGCTCTCCAGCTATGCATTTGGAAACTTTTCCACTTATTTTTACCAATATTGTTTCGTCTGATGGTTAATCTACTGTTGACGATTCTATTATATTTATATTATATAACAAAATAGGGGGTAAATATTAATTGGAGATGTGCAGCCCGTATTCGAAGAACCCTGACATAGCTGCACGTCGTGTATAGGATTTTTAATATATCTTAGAATATCTTAAAATATCTTAATAAAATAATCTTAAATAATAAAATAAAAATAATCTTGAAAAAGAATAAAATATCTTAGGATTTCTTTAAAAAAATATAATGTATAGGATCGATATCTTAGAATTTTTGATATATAACTAGCAAAATTCCACTTGCTCTGTAGTGTTTTGAGTTCTTTGTTATAATTAAAGAGGAAAATGAAAAATCTTGAAAAATTTTTTGAATGCTACTGCAGATCTTACTTGGATTATCGTTCTATGCTTGGGTTTCAATGCCAGTAACAACACTTCAAATGTATCTCTTTCATGCATTTCCATTACCGCCATGCTTTCTCTTCGATTTTCTGGTCGCATTCGTTGCAGCCGTTAATCTCTACATGTACATCTACGGTGTTGTCAAGAGCTTCTCACACAAGCATAGGTTCATTTTTTGGCACATTGTTTTTGCTGAAATTTGTTTATTTTTTCTATAAAAGTAATTTCGATAGATCAAAAGCCAGCCGCAACAACTTGTATTAGTGCTCAGAATTGATATTTGAAACAAGTTTTCCGAAAATAATTTTCCCGCACTCTTTCTCCCCCTCCTTCTCTTTTAGAGTTTCCCAGATCCCCCACACAGGGCCTTGATCAGGGAACCACACCGCACATCCGAGTGAATATCCTTTTTGAATAGAAAGACCGGGAAGTACCAGTATAGTTTGTTTAGTTATGCATTTCACCGGAGAATATTCTATTTTTTCATAAAATTGTTATAATTCAGATCAA